GTGTGTGTGAATGAATGGTGTGTGTGTGTGTGTGAATGAATGGTGTGTGTGTGTGTGTGTGTGTGTGTGAATGAATGGTGTGTGTGTGTGAGTGAATGAATGGTGTGTGTGTGTGTGTGTGTGTGTGTGTGTGTGAGTGAGTATGCCTTGCAGTGGGTTGGTGCCCCATCCTAGGTTATTCTTGCATCTGTAGTTGCCAGAGTAGGGTCTGGACTTCCATGGCCCTGAATATGATTTTATGTAAACAAGAAAAGGCAAAAAAAAACAAATTCAGTTGTGCCAGCAATGGGAAGGGGGCATAGCAGGTGAGGTCAGCTTTAATTTAAGTGCACTCTCAATGAGCTATAGATGGTCTAAGCTCTTTTTTTCCTGTTTCCTATTAAAAAAATACTTGGAGTCTTTTAGCAATGGCTGTTTTCCCGATGATATACATCTGGCTGCTGACTTGCTGTTCGATGGGCTTCCAGCTTCCTGGGTGATAAGGCAAATCTGCCATGACATGCTGTGACAGTGACAGTCTGCCACTGTTGCTGACGTTTTAAATAGGCATCAATAAATGCCTCCCAAAGCAAAACAGGTGATTACTAGAGCCTGGTGGAAATTCTCACGGTGGCCCAGAAATACCTTAGCTACCATATAGTGCATCAAACCATCATAATCACCTGGAGTAACACTGTTATGATAACAGTGCACCCACCTTCAAAATGCTTATCCTAGTGAGGTTTGCGGGCTGGTCTGGAGCCTATTTCAGGCAGCAAAAGGCACAAGGCTGACTATACATCCTGGATGGGATGCCACTCGATCGCAGGGTGTATACATGCACATATTTGCTGATTAGCGTAACCGCATGTGTTTGGACTGAGAGTGGAAATCTGTGCACACTCCACATACACACAGTGGAAGTGGGATTTGAACCCCCAACCCCTGGATGTGTGTGTGGATTTTAGATATAGTTTACTTTTGTTGTATATTATCTCTTGACAGGGGGTGCGTAATTATATTGGGCCCCTAACCCACACCAATCCAATTATGTTCCAGATTTTTAGAGCCTTTGGAATCAGGCCCTATTAGAGAATTTAATTTGTATTTTTGATTACGATGGTTTCGGCAGTCACTGGTGTAATGTTGTTGTGTGTAACACAAGGACGGTAAAACCTCGGAATTGAAGTGAGGCAGCAATGTCACCCACTGAGTCACCGTGTCACCATTAACATAACCAGTATTTTAAATACAGGAGCACAAAAAAAACATTTTTGCAAAAATGTGCACAGTGCCTCATAATCAATGTCCATGTTCATGTAATACGAGACCACAGAGTGTGGAATCCATGAAGCAGGGAGCACTATAGACAGGGTGCAAGTCTATCTCAGGGCACTAGGCAGGGGACACCAAGTCTATCTCAGGGCACTAGGCAGGGGACACCAAGTCTATCTCAGGGCACTAGGCAGGGGACACCAAGTCTAACTCAGGGCACTAGGCAGGGGACACCAAGTCTAACTCAGGGCACACTCTCAAATGCACATTTTGGCAACCTGGAGACATGAATTTGCTGAAGCACATGTTGGACTACAGCAGGAAACCAGATTGTCATTATCTTTGAATTATAAGTCAGCATTCGGGATCCACAGAGGACATTTACACCCCCCCACCCCCCCACCCCCCCGGGACCCAGAAAGAACTCTAAAGAAATCTAAAGAACACAATGTCTCCACGTCTGCAGTACGAACATGCTGTTTTGTGAATAATAAATCAGTAGACTGCAGTCTAACGTATTTCATGTCATCTGGCTCACAAACAGTCTGACTTAGACATGCGCAAATAAAAACGGTAGTATGTGCATTTAACAGCTTGTGTTCTCTTATATTACTACATGTACAGGCAGTCCTTGGGTTAAGTACGTCTGACTGCGGACAACTCGCACTTGCAAGTAGGCTGCAATAAAGCCTATTACGTTCAAAATTAACATTGTGTTAAGCACAATGGTTCGTAGCAAACGCATACACTACGTTGTGACGCTCGTGAAAACACTGCATGGCTTCAGCAGTTCGTCAGTTTGAGTTACAGTCCAGTACAGTATGTAGTTACGTCTATCATTATTTATTATTATACACTGTATTACTATTGCTCCTGCATACCTACAAATTCGACTTGAAGATTTAGTTTGTTATCTTTGTTCTGCTTGTATTACCTTGTTGTACGGATCCTGTACTGTAGTCCTGCTGATTAATTCCTTCCCATTTCAAAACACTGTCACTCAGGGGTCCCAGCGAAGTGCTGTAACTGTTTATTGATTGTTTTAATGGCCAACCTGTTCACGTCTCTCCATTCCTATCTTCTGTTAACGAGCTACGACGGTTCTGGCAGCCTAGAACCCGGAGCTGTGGGCGATGGCAGCATGCTATCGATAACGAGGCTAATGAAGTGTGCGACGATGGTGGCGCTTTGGCCTCCCAGTCGTTATTATCGCTACTTAGTATGCGTGTCACAGATCGATCACGTACGACGCAGTCTGGTGCTGTTTTTACGGGAATGCTCAGCACAATTGTAGAGCCATGCAATTCCAACAATTGCTGGTACAATCGGAGACACAGTGACCCGTAAGTGATATGGAGAGGCAGTGGTGCACATTCTTGTATTTTGGGGCACCCGCATGCACTCTAACTCGAGGTGCAATTTAGAGACAGCAGTTCTCAGTCTAAATATTTCTAAATAGCAACCAAAAGCACTGAGAGGAAATTCAGACAAACGCTCCGGGTGCGGGCAGGGGAGCAATCTCAGGACACAAAAGACATGAAGTTACAACACAAACCACAGCTGCTTTCCATGAAACTATCAGCTAGACAACCAATAATCCCGACTCTCCATAGCACCTGAAATGTTTTAGTGCCTCCTGGCTTCCGTGCGGCTTTCAGACACACTCACCCAGAAAGATGCTTGTTGAATATCCCTCAATGATTGGCCGGTCCAACCGGTCTGAGTGCAGCGGGAAGCACACGCCGTTACGGCCATAGTAGTTGCCGAAGAGGCCCTCGTCCAGTAGTGGGATGACCGCGATGGCAGTGCCCAGGAGCCAGATGGAGGCCAGCATGCAGGCGGTCTGTCGCTTGCCTGGCCGCAGACGGCTGAAGGGGAAGACGATGGCCAGGAATTTCTCCATGGTCAGATAGGTGATGAGCATGACAGACACCTCGGAGGACAGCATGGCCAGGAAACCCATGGTGTGGCAGGTGGAGCTCTCCATCCACAGTTTGGCATTGCGGTTGTACTCCCCCCGGAACTTCACGTCGAACACCCCCACGAGGAACAGATACACCCCCATCAGGCAGTCTGCACCTGCCCAGATGTCGGGGAAGGAAAGGAGGCATCGGGGGGGGGGGGGATTTTAAAACTTGTCATCTGTTTCATGAGGCTGAGAAGGCAAGCCATTGTCAAGGAGGAATCTATGGAATGTGCTATATGAAAAGAAGAATAGCAATGTGCCTCATACTGCAAAAGACAAATAAGGATCAATTTATTTCACTTCGTTCGTGAGGGACAGGTTAGGTGGCAGAGAATAGATTAATATTTGCCTGCAGAGGGCAGCAAGGGGTTACGGATGTCTGTGCTAGGGGGGTATACAAATGGCCAGGTCTTGTCCAGCACTCAGATGTAAAGCTCATCCAATGAGGTACATGACTAAGCAACACTTCAGATGTGGAGTAGCAATTCCTATATTGTGCCAAGTTGTGACATAGGCTCTAAGACAAGCCTGTGGCAGAGGACAATGGACCGAAGAAATGGAAATGACCAGGGGCAAACTGGAAGGCGCACAGTGGGGGAGGTGCCAAACAAAGCTCTGTGGCCAAGGCTGGACGCTCCGGAACGTCAGGTATCAGGTAACTATGGACGGCTCCGTTTATGCTCACGGTGACTGATGCAGCTGCAGCTGAACGGGCAGAACTCACAGCATAGAACCTTGATGCACATGGCGTGTAGGTTGTTCTCGGCCCGGATGACGGAGCGCATGCCGATAACGAAGAGGTTCCCGAAGCAGGTGATGAAGGCCATGACCCACACCGACACCCTGAGAATGACGCTGGCGAGAAGGTCTTCGATGGAGGAGATCCCATCCGAGTTGGGCTTGCATTTCCGCACGTGGGGAGCATATGAGCAGTATTGAAACTTTTTAAAGTATCTGTGAGAGTAAAGGCTATTTAAAACAATATAGTTATGTTACATTATTTTATATAATTTCTCAAAATAAACACACTAGACAGGAATGTCTAGTAACATTCTGAGTATCTTCCCAACATATTGTAGTGAAAAGTCTATAGTGAGTCTTTGATTTCACACTCATACCTACATGTGGGAGAGGTTCTTCATAGACTGGAACATTCTGGTTTGGATATCTGGGATTTCAATGCCTTCCAGGCTTCTGATAGGAAATTTAGAAAAATAAATCATTCATTATGCATTCATAGAACATTCATTACACCTTCATAATGCAATCATAGTACATTCAGTGCACCTTCATAAAGCATTCATTATACATTCATAGAACATTTAGTGCACCTTCATTACCAAAGCATTACCATATATATATATATATATATATATATATATATATATATATATATATATATATTACATAATCATGTTGCATGTTGCTTCTGGACCTAGTAATGTTGCAGTTTATAATATGTAATTGGATTTGGATAAATTATAAATAAAAACAGGAGATAGAATCTAATGCCAAATTATCTTTTGTTTTAATGTACAGGTTTCATGTCTCTGGGAAGGGGCTTCTTACAACAGGATATGCTGCATAAAATTGGAAAATATGAAGAACACAGCCCACAGTTGTACTCACAGAGACTGAAGATGCATGAGGGGATCAAACTGTCTAGGGTGGATACGAACCAAAGGATTGTGGGAAATATTTCTGTAACCAGACAACAAGGTTTCACAAAACAAAAACAATTTGCAATAGGAAAACATTTACAGTTGTGTTAAATCTAAATACTGGCCCGCTGAGATACCTCAGGGACAGTTCTCTCCCAGTGAAAAAATATATATTGAAAAATATTTATTAAAAAATAAAGTAAAACTGATTCATGAAGTATAACTCACAGAGTCTGCAAAGATTTTAAGCCCCTGAAGATATCGCTTGGAAGTTCGATAATCTGGTTGCTCGACAAGTCGCTGAGCAGGGAGAGAGGGGAGAAAAGAAGTGAAGTACGACCGTCAGATGGCAAAAGACTTTGCAAAAGAAAACAGAGTAAGATCTGTGATATTCATACAGTTATTTCTCTCATTTCAACACTCATCTGGATAAGTGGTTTCGAAGATTGGTTGACTGGTAAGACAGCTTATCCCTGACTTAAGGGTCATTGAGAGTGCCATTATTGTCTAGCAAGCTGGCTGTGGGCTTTTGTTTATGGCATAAATTTGTTAAAAATGATCTTCCTAGATCATTAGCGTCACGTTCTACAGTTCTGCTGCTTCAGTAAACAAAAATAATACAAAATAAAACGCTGGCGACGGTTTCCCGCGGCCTCCTCCGAGACATCGCACTTCACAATGCAAACGAGATGGTCGCAAATACCGCACATCAACGGCCCGCAAACCGCCTCAGCCCGGCCAGCGTTGGCATGGTTTGTGATGAGTTAATGGTGCCTTATTTATAAACAACCATTTTCTTTGCTTTTCCTAATGACATCTCATAACATCCATGACAATCCAAGGCATCTCGACATAACAGTCTCGGAAAATGTGCTAAATAACCCTCTAGGCTGTTTCCACTGTTTGTGTAAAAATAGGCAATATATTTGATTCCCACCCCTTCGGCCATGACTGGATCAAAAATGGACTGGTGGGTGCATGTCAATGACTAAATCAGGAAGCTGTCCATCGGAATTAATGACACTGAAGCTAACATGAAGTAATTAGTTTTCACTGCACGGCACTTATTTTACTAATGTTACACATAAGGTCATAATTATTAGACCCCTGTCCAAAATTGAACAAAACCATTATTTTTTTTAAGAGAACTGACTAGTATTTAAAGTGAGAATTGCTTCCCAAGAGAACAGACGCAATTTCCAAGAAGTTTGATGAAAATATTTTACTGATGCACTTATTTGAAACATGAAAAAGACAAAAATAGCATGGCCAAAATTATTAGCCCTCTGACAATTAGTCAGTAGTGCACCCCTTCTGACTCACAAACGATAGCAAACTTACTGTAGTTTCTCACAGTTTGCACAAGTCTCCTGAGGGATCTTAGACCATTCCCCTGCAGCAATTTACTCGAGCTCATGCGAAATATGTGGTTTCCGAGCCTTGGACCTTAACCTTGAGCTCACGCCAAAGATTCTCATTAGGATTGAGCTCTGGGCTTTGAGACAGCCACTCCGGGACCATGATTTTGTGGTTCCTCTAAAAGTTCTTTACCAACTGTGATGCGTGCTTTGGGGCTTGCTGAGAGACCCAGACCCAGACTGGCAGCAGATTTCTTCAAATTATCTGTTAAAATGTCAACATGATCTTCTTTCGACATTATGCCATGTACCCAAACAAGGTTTTCCGTGCCTAAAGCAGCAAAACAGACCCACAGCATTATGCTCTTGCCATGTTTATCTGTGCGAACTTTTGTTTTTAGGGTTGAAGATCTCTCCCTTCCAAACCTCAGTCTAGCTTTGATATGCCGCTGCGTGAGCAATGGAGTTCTCCTTGGCCGATGACCTCGAAGCTTCTCAGAAGTTTATTTTTTTGAGACTTCCAGAATGAGACATGTCCAGAAGAGACCAGCTCGTTGACGATGGCATTTGCAGTGATCCAGGTTTTTCTTGTTGGCATCTCTGATCATTTTCTTCAATCATATGGCTTCAGCTGTGGTTTGACACCAGAATATTTAACTTTACTGCAATACTTCCTGACAAATTCAAATGGGGCTAATGATTTTGACCACCCCAATTTTCAATAAAGTTGTTGTAAAGTTTGAAAAATTATGTTCTAATTCGACATAAATGTAGGAAAAAGTCCCAGTTCTCGGAGGGGGCTAGTAATTCTCATCTTAACTTCATTATGGGATGAAAAGACTTGACTAGGGAGGACAAAACAAGGAATAAGAAAATCCTGCAAATATACAGGGCTGGCAATGGATGAATAAACATTCCTAATCTCTATAAATCGATAAGTAATTGTATGAGATATGGGCAAGGTGGGCAAATGCTGCATTTCTGGAACAGGAAATTGATAAGAGAACGTTTTTTTCCAAGCCAAACCACTATATTTTACGCATTACTGTACGTTTTGCTAGAACATCATTACTCTGTTAATGTGGCAATATGAAAACAGTGTCGATCCATTCATCCATCCATCCTTCCGTTCATCCAGCCATCCTTCCATTCATCCATCCATCCTTCCATTCATCCATCCATCCATATCCATAACTGCTTAGCCAGTACAGTATCACAGTGGGCCTGTAGCCTTGCTCATGGGAGTGTTATTTACACAAAAATGGGTCCAAGCAACTAGAGGAGGCAAGACCAAGACATCTGATTGGTTGGTCCTGCTCATCTATTTGCTTGGACTCCCTTCTTCTACAATCTGATTGGTTATCTCTCTGAATCAATCATTTTTCATTCTGCCCTCAGAACATTTTTTTGTAAGTAAAACTCACATGAGTCGTAGCCTATCCCAGGAAGCCAAGGACACAAAACAGGCTATACCTTTTGTGTTTTTACTGTGTTTTATGGGTTTTGCTATTTCGATTGCACAGCACTTTGGTGTTTTGCTGTTTGCTGTTTTCTACTTTTTGCATTATATGGGATGGAGTCCGTCTCATGGCACATGCTCACGCACATATAATCACACATGCTGGTTTGGCTTTTGGAGGAGACCAGGCGAACACAGAGCTAACACACAAATACCAGACACTGAGAATCGAGGGCAGGATTCAAACCTGCAGCCCTGAAGAGATGAGCTTATAGTACCATCTGAAATATTACTTTACCCATAAAAGATGTTTTTGAAAACGAATAAGAAATTTTGACGAGGGTGTTGGATCATTTAGAAACTTTTTTGCGTTTAATTAGCCGGCACATGATGTGGACTACGATCACAATCTTCTCATTCTAAAGGGCCTGAATTCTGCACTTGTCTTTCTACCATCTTATGGGTGAGGTGGGACTGGCCACGGACTTACAGCTCTCCCAGGTCCTGCAGGGGCTGGAAGGTGTTCTCCTGCAGCACGCTGATGTTGTTGTCACGGAGAGACCTACAAGCAACAGGGGAACCAACGGGGTTGGGGTTGGTGTGGAGGTTCTGCCCATGAAATGACCTGCCTTCCACAGACAAGCTGCGCAGTTAGTCTGCTTACTGCTGCTATGGGTGCTGCCTGGAATGTATCAACAGGTATTATATTATATGTAGCTATCATATTACACATCCAGTCAAAAGTTTTTGCATGCCACAGATTTTTACCACTTTTCCATTTATTTCATAAACAGCGCATTTTTTTATTCTTGTAAACCATTGAAAAGTGAAGTGAAAAGCCATAAATGAAAATTAAAAAGTCAAATAAAACAAGTTTCCTTTATAATACGCAAAAAGTATGTAACAGAGCAGTATTTAATGTCCCTTGTAGAAAGAATGCCTCAAATTTGCTCTGCTGTTATAACTGCTAGAGGAGGTTACTTTGATGAATCGAAGATACAACATTTTCGTGCTAATAAAGGTGCTCAAATGGTGAACAAACTGTAAACTCATTTGTTAGCAAAGAATACTGTGAATATTTTTAGTAAAAGTTAAGTGTAGAAAATCTTGGTGTGTGCAACAACGTTTGACTGGTAGCATATAAATAGTCGACAGCATAAGACAGTTAAGTTAGACAGCATAAGGCAGTTAAGTTAGACAGCATAAGGCAGTTAAGTTAGACAGCATAAGGCAGTTAAGTTAGACAGCATAAGG